CTGCTTGGGCGACTCAGGCCAACATCGCTGACATCTGCAAGGCAGCAACCTGGACATCGCTGAATACTTTCATCCGCCACTATAGAGTTGATACGTACGCCTTGGTTGACGCCTCGTTCGGTCGGCAAGTTCTGCAAGCTATGTGTTCTGCTCCGGTCACGCATGCGCAGCATTCCACCCTTCCTATGTAAAACTTGCTTGGGCATGTCCCTCGCTTTTGGATTCTCCAAGCAGCGCACTGGAGAACAGACGTTGCTTACCTGAACGTCCCTTCTAGGCGCGCTGCTGGAGAATCCAACCCACCCGGTAAGGCTGCTGAATCTGGAACTACACAGGTCTCCTTGAACTGTTTCTTCGTGAACAAAAACTCAGCCTCTGATGAGCAAAAGGGGCGTGTCCAAGAAATTTAAAGACACATACACTCAGGGCTGACTGCTAGACTGTTGAATAACCCTCGCTTTTGGATTCTCTAGCAGCGTGCCTAGAAGGGACGTTCAGGTAAGCAACGTCCGATTTCCATAAGTGATTAGAAAAGCCATTGTGAACCCATTGTCCTCTTGATGGCACTAACCATGGTTTCAGCAAGATGGCTATTCCCTTCCCACTCAGGACTCTGGATGCTGGTGTCTTGTATTCTCCTCATGAAGAGTAGCACTATGGAGTACTTGTGGGTGATTTTAAGCCCCCTCCTTGACCAGAGAAGAATTGTAAAAAGCCAGTCTACATGGTGGCTCTTCATTCTATTGAAGTTTTTAACTCTGCTTCAGTTTGCCATTTCTTCCCCATAAGTCCTCAAGTAATCAGGTTCCTGATTGCATTTTTAGGCTTTAATACTCAAAACATGGACTGAATAGTTCATTGCCTCCAATAATAGAGCTACAATGTGTATGGAGTCATGCTGAATATTGCTGATTCTTTCTTCAAATATCTGCTGAATTTCTTATAACGATTCACTTAAGGTAGAACCAGTTCCAATCCTGTTCTGATTATAATAAACCACTTACTGTCTGAGACATTGCTTTGCAGATTACATTCCAAATGCCATGGATAGGAAAGAGAACTCCTTTGGCATAATCACAGCATAGACTAGATAATACGATCAAATATATAGTTGTCAGTTAAGTCTTTTTCCTACTTGCTTTATTGTTCCTACTAATTAAGATCCTATATCGTATTAAGTTATATCTGGAAACTGATTTGATCTTGTCAAATCAAGATTAAATATATATATGCCATATATATATAAATATATGGTTCAGTCACCAAGCATATCAATTGGAAAACCACTAGCAGAATTAGTTTCTTAACTAGAATCATTCTAGTACAATCGTTTGCCACTGTAAAAGAAATAAATGAGAAAGTAAAAACCACAACAATATTTATCTTTTCATCATGTCTGTATCATTATCATCCTACCATCAACTACAGCACATGATATGTCTGAATTCAATGCTTTGTTAAGCTGTTTGACATGCATTTAAAATACATTGTGAAATAGCCCCTCTTCTCTCACCTTATGCTTCAGAAACATTTTGTCATGTTCATAGCAAGCAAAGTAGACGTATTCTTCTGTATATGATAGGAATTATCATACATACAAGTAGACCTCTATGATCAACATGTAATTTGTAAGGAGAACCTCTATTTTATTATGTCAGACTTGATCCTAAATAATATATTACAAAGATGTGTCCCTTCAAAAAAAAAAAAATAAATAAGGCTTCCTCATTAAGGCAACCATTGATTACCTATAATTAATTAGCAGAATCCACTCCTTTGCCAAAAATATAGCCAATCATGTGTAAACTAATACTATATGTATATTCAGTATTGAACTATATTGTAACTTTGAATCCATGTGTTTATGTAGTCTGTTAATTTCACTGTGCTATATATAATGCCAAATACTTCAAAACAAACATATTAGTTTTAGAAATATGAAATGTTAACAGTTTATAGTAAAACTGCATCATAATTATATAACAATATATTCTTTTCTTTAATAATACTATTGTAATTTCATAGTGTACAAACAAGTTATTCATTGATCAATGTTGGAAGGTTTCAAAAATATTTTTGTTAGTTTAGATATAGTATTTGAAATAAGTTTAGAAGCAAGCATTATAAATGAGAAAACATTCAAACTGATTTATTAAAAATTATCAAAATTCTGAGAGCCATTCTAATAGTAATAAGCTCTTTGTCAGATAAAGTTGTCTCCATTGTTATTTTATCCCTGTACATCTACATGTTTGATTTCCACTGTTATTAAAACTTACATATGACAAATCTCATTTGTTTACAACAATTCAATAAATATTTGAAGAAAGACAATACAGGTAGTCCTCAGTTTACAACAGTTCATTTAGTGACTGTTCAAGGTTACAACAGCACTGAAAAAAGTGATTTATGATAATTTCTCACACGACCTTTGTACCATCTCCATGGTCACACGATCAGAATTTGGATGCTTGGCAATTAGTTCATGTTTATGACCGTTATAATCTCCTGGGGTCATGTGATCCTCTTTTGCAACCTTCTGAAGAGCAATGTCAATGGGGGAAACCAGATTCACTTAACAACTAACTTTATTAACTTAACAAATGCAATTATTCACTTAACAACTGTGGCAGGAAAAGTCCTAAAATGGGGTGAACTCATTTAACCAATGTTTCACTTAGCAACATAAATTTTGGGCTCAACTGTTGTCGTAACTCAAGGATTACCTGTATAGAAATTAAATTATTGGGCTTCAATAGTGATGATAGTATTACATATGATGAGGATTTTTAAAAAATTATATTATTTTAAGAAATTACTCTTTAAGAAAGTACTGTCGATTATCATTTCTAGCCCCAAAATAGAAGGATTTTTTTTAATTGTTTCATGTTTGTACTCTATAGTACAGTAAATATTTAAACAACAGTAGAAGAAATGTGAGTTCTCGTATTATATGGTTCTGATACTATCAGTATGTTAATGTATTTCAAATATTGGCTTTTAACTCCTTTTGCGGGTAGGAATACCTAATAAAAAGGACATGATAATATGAAAATCTCTAATAATCAATTAGTGCAGACTAGATCAGTTCTTTACAAGTTTATATCTATAGTTTCTGAAGCATTCCAGAGAAATACTGTTGTCAGAATTGTTCAGAGGAAAATTTTCAAATAATAATAGTACTAATTAACCACAAATGATTTAAATATGTAGTATGATATATTTTGGCAATGAATACATTATCAATGTGAGGAAAACCAGACTGAAAAAAATAATTTTATTGTTACTTATGTTTATAACTGTACCTTAATTTCTGAATTACCTACAGTATATGATTGAACTTTTATAGTATTTTTTCTCAGCTTTGTTTTCAACAGACTCAGGAAGCAGGACCTTGCTGTGCTGTTGCTCATAGCACATTATGCTATGCTAATATTTCCTGTGCATGCTTTACATAAACTACACTGGACAATTCAGATATTCAGGACAGTGGTACTTTTCTGGAAAATAAACTGACACTTAACAATTAGGAACCCTGAGATAAATAATTTTATTATTAATGGATTTTTGATATTTTTGTGACTCATACTATCAATATGTGCTTTCAAAGTAGAGCAGTTTTAGAGACAGAAGGAGATGAGAGGAAAGGACTACATTTGAGACTATTTATAAGTCAATACAAGAACATTCTATATTAGTTCTTTATTGAATAATAACTGAAAATCTATCATGTTTCTTAGTAAATTATTACTACCAAATATAACAATATTTGAATCTAATAAAGGTAAAAATGGCCTGGTGTTTGCCTTGAATTTACTAAAGTATGAAAACAATCTTTAGAGGGGAAAAAAGGAGCAAGCCTAATTGGATTTAACTGCTATATTTTTATGAGTGGGAATATATAATAAAAAAAAGCATAGCTAATTAGGTTTTCTTTAGATTAATTTATATATATTTTGGAATATATAAATGATATTAACTAGTAATCTGGTATCTGATTTCATATCACTTCATTTTTATGCAGTGGAACTCTTTCGAAACAAATGATTTGAAATTATAGCCTAAGTAATGAGATCTTTCTTTAAAAGCTAAATGAAAAATGTTTTCAATGTACAATTTAATTATGTGGAATTCAAATTTTTATTTTAAATTAGTGTTTTACTTTCTAGGTTAGATATAAGTTTCATTACTTATATTTAGTTTAATTTAATAAAGCAGGGATAATGTCCATACATATTTTTTTTAAAAGGGTTGTATTCTTTTAAGTTAAGACAATATTTAATACACTTATAAAATAATAACTTTTAGAACTTTATAGAATTAAGAAGAGTTGAGTAGAGGTAATCCCTGGGTTAGCGAATGTTCGAAGTTACGCAATAAGCACCCCCTAGCGTTTACTAACAAGTTCCGAAATTACAAATGTTGCAGCACCATGGCAGTTGTTCGCTTTTACGAACTACCACAGAGGCTCTGCAACATTCACCCTGCCTATTCTCCCCCCCCCCCCCCACAAGCTGGGTCTTCACAGGCACTTCGCCTGTGGAGACTCACCTTGCAAAGATCTCTCTGTCCTGGTTTCTTTACCTGTTTCATTGCTTCAGGCTTTCGGTGCATTCACAGAGAACAGACCTAATCATGCAAGATCAGTAGTGTAAGATCTTGTGCTACTGATCTTGTGTGATCACACATTTTAGCCTCATTTCTCTGTAAATTGAGGCCTGGATGTTTGCAAACTTCGATCCTTCAGGCCTTCCCTCTGTTTGCTGTTTCCTTGCCAAAACCTGCAGGAAGATTGCGTTCCTGTAGGCTTTGGCAGCCGTTTGCAAAAGGCCTTTGTTGGCACCAGCAGATCTTGGGAGGAGCAGCTGCGTCCTTCCAGAACCTACCAGCAAAGGCTTTTTGCAAAGGGCAGCCAAAGCCTACAGGAACGCAATTCTTAAGCACTTTGCTGACGAGAAAGGAGGCCCGGAATGGCATGCATCCCTCCGGGCCTCCTTTTTCATCGCCAAAGGCTGACTCATGCAGTTTGCCAGTGAGAAAGGAGGTGCAGAAGGGTGCGTGTAGCCCTCTAGGCCTCCTTTTTCATCGCCGAAAGCCAACTTCAGCGGTGAGAAAGGGGCCTCCTTTTTCATCGCCAAAGTCTTCTTCAAGCCCTTTGCTGACGAGAAAGAAGGGAGCAGGCAATGAAACAGAGAGGCTGGAGAGGAGACAGTTCTTCATAAGGTAAGTGACCCGGCGCAGCAGGATGGGATGGAGCAATTGTGGGGACCCCAGGAGAGGGAGAATGAGGTATCTGAGGGTCAGGGGAGGCCTTGGGTGGTCTGAACCAGGTGACCTGTTCCACCACTAGGTTCCCCTATGGGAGTTCCCCACTTCGAGATACCATTCAAGGTAAGAGATTCACTCCTACGAGTCCTCAGGTTACGAATGGAATGGGCATGCTCCATTACATTTGTAACTGAAGGACTACCTGAATATGAAAACATAATACAAGATAGAGAAGCTTTTGATATTGTAGCATTAAATTACTTCTGGATTAAAGTAAAAATGCTTCCATTTCCTAGAAATGATTATAACTATTGTTTGTTCTTTTTCTCATTATAATTTTTGAAAATCCATAATATATTAGATCGAAAATATATTTAACAAGAATATGTTCTTTTAAACAGCAAACTGCAAATCAGATGCAAACTGATTCTTTGTCTCCATCTCCTAAGACTGTGTCGCCAGTGCCTTTAAATAACGCCACCAGTGCCCCAAGGTTTGGAACAGTTATTCCTAATCGCATCTTTGTTGGAGGAATTGATTTTAAGGTAATTTGGATGACTTAATAACAGTCCAACTTTTATTGTAATAGAATTGTTTTTATATTGTTACATATATCTAAGAATTTATTCTTATCATTTTATCGTCTGGTAGATAGATACAGAAAATAAGTGTTACTTCTCCCCCATCTCATTCCTTTGTTGTTGTTGTTGTTGTTCTCTATTAAAATGGCATTGTCATTACAGTAGATTCCAGTCTCCCACTCTGATCTATTTCAATAGGTTGTGGATCTATTTCAATAGGTTGTGGATTTTCCAGAACAAATTTACTAGTGTCTTTGTGAAGATAAAGGGTAGGGAATCATTCTAGCTTATTAGTCATGTGCTCTGATCATTCTACCTTTTATTTTACTGATTTTTATTCATCCATAAATTCGCTCAGAGGTATTTCACTTTTTAGTTTTTCAAATTATTATTCTTGAGTTTTAAGTAGCATCCTTGAAAAGATCCAGGTAACGTCCTCTCACTGCCTTCATCCGTAGGACCTTCTATTGAGTATGGAAAAGTGCATTTTTTTTTCTATAAGCAATTATGAATGAGAAGATGTATGTTGAGAGAAGTGTAAACTAGCCACTTCCAATCCATTCAAAGGTCAGTGTTGCAATTAACTAAGAGCAAAAGCAAAAATATCTATATTCTTAGACACTACAGGAAACATACATTCTTGAAAATATTTCCCTCCCATCATAGTTTAGTAAAATATCTAAATATGCACCCAGCGTTAAAAACTTAAAAGTGCTACTCAAATGAGATATTAATTCTTAAATATATTATTCAATTTATATAGAGAGCCATCGTGGCACAGTGGTTAGAATTCAGTATTGCAGGCTAATTCTGCCGACTGCCAGCTGTTCGATTGTCACCGGCTCAAGGTTGACTCAGCCTTCCATCCTTCCGAGGTCGGTAAAATGAGAACCCAGATTGTTGGGGTCAATATGCTGACTGCAAACTGTTTAGAGAGGACTGTAAAGTACTATGAAGCAGTATGTAAGTCTAAGTGCTATTGCTATTCGTTATATCCTTTTCAGCACTTCCAAGGTGATTCATTCTTTTTTAAAAAGGCCAATCCTTCCCATTTTATTTCCTGCAATAACATTTCTTTATGTGTCTTTGCAGAGTAACTTTTCTGGGAAATGGTCTTGAAAACCATTCATTATCAGGCATGCCAATATATCCAAAGAAACTCTGCTGATTTTTCTCTCCCTTGTATTATTTCCCTTTTTTAAAAAAAACAAATTTCAGAATACCATGGAAGTGGAAATTATATACAATATGGGTAAGTCTAGAAGAATTGGCCCACTTTAGAAAAGACTGCAGGTATCCTTATTGTACAAACTGTTGAAGAATATAATTGGAAAGTAAAAATAGGGTATAAAAGATTGAAATTAGTTTTGATTGAGCAAACATGCCAATTATTAAAAGAATGTCAATATTAAGTGATAATTGTATTTTAACTAGATTTACTAGTATTAAATCTAGTATTATAAGATACAGTCTTACTCTCTCTTTTCCCCCTCTCCCTTTTATTTATTTCAATAGACTAATGAGAATGACCTGAGGAAATTTTTTTCCCAATACGGCTGTGTAAAAGAAGTAAAAATAGTAAATGACAGAGCTGGAGTATCAAAAGGGTTAGTAAACCAAAACATTTATTAAATTAATACACTGCTGAGAGGCTGGATATAGTCTTCCAAAAATTAAGAGCATGGTATAAAAGTCCTTCAGGTCTGTAATTCTGTAAGCAAATTATCTGGGAGTCAGTTTAAACAGTGTTAGGTTTCTTAGTAAAAATGCATAGGCTGTGTTTGGTTGAAAACAATTTCTAGAGGCCAAGTTGTGTTATTCATTTGCAATAAAACAATATGTCATGATACTCAGTTAAAATCCATTTAATTAAATTCATAGAGTATGGTCCTCAAAAAAGAGTATACGCAGTTATTTACATGAGGGAAGAAATGCTAAAAAGCTATCCTCTTATCATTTTATCAATATTATTATTCTTAAAGATGCCGTTAAATTTTTTGAAAATCATATAATTTATATGGAATTATTAAATTTACTTAGTTTACATACTATAGAGTTATTCCAAACAGATAGATGGGCAGTATATAAATTAAATAAATAAATAAATATGTTGCAGTTATGCAACATAACTGAAATGTTTATTAATAATCCTGTGTTGTCAGTCTGTTGTATAGTTCTTATTCAATAAAAGCTGTTCTAAATCATCTTTTTAATTATTTTATTCTTCACTGTGATATTTATCTATCATGCAAATGAGTCTCCATGCTGTGCTGTGCATCATTTGGAATGTTTCAGCAAAGCAATTTTTGGCATATTATATCTCTGCATCTTTGTCCATAGCAGCATCTATTGTGTTACCTCAGCTCCTTCTCAACCCCCAGAAGTACTTTCAGCAGCATTCTCTGATTTTTTTTCCTCTTCATCTTCATATTTCCCCAAATCATTTCTATTTTCTTGTTCCTTGTGGTTAGTGTTATTGTTTTTCCTTATTAATCTACATTTGAAAAGGAATAATTTGGGGAAAAAATAGATTTCATTGAGGTTTTTGTTCAGACTGTTCTACTTCTTAATAAAGTTTTAGAGTTTAGATAATTAAAGAAGCCTTCCTGTAAATATGCAATTTGAGTAAAGTTACTACATCTGACAAACGTGTATGTCTCTTGTGTTTATAGGCAAAGGCCAAGAAGTTGAGGCATGTCATCTTTGCTAAGTATTAGTAAAACAAACCTGATAGAACATTGCCCTTTGGTTTAAAACTGAAGAAGAAAGCACTGCCTAGCTCAGAAAACATGTGTGTATGTAAGGTTCCTTCACAAAGCAAGTGTCTTCCGTTAGCTGAAATAAAAAAAATTCAAAATCATTCCAAGAAGCATATATAGTACAATAATGTATTTTCCCAAAGTGCATTTTTCACCACCTTTTGCAATGGCTAAAGTATTCAACACCTCTGCAGAAGATTCTGCCTATTCTTTATCAAACCCAGGGCTGACCAGCTCCAATATATAGGGAAGGTAACAGAAGCTTTATAGAAAATTCCTTAGTCTAGGGGAGGGAAATTCCTTAGTCCAGGAGGGAAATGTGAGCAACTTGGAGTAATTCTGTCTTCATTATGCTAAGAATCAGTTGATCTGGAAATTACTTGAGTAGGTTTTCAGTATTCTGTTATATTACTAGCAATATAGATAGTTCTCATTTAGTGATTGCAGTTGGGACTAGCAACTTGATCATTAAGCAAAGTAGTCACTAAGTGAAACTTCAACTGTGCTTGTGATTTTACTTCAGTGTTTCACTCCTTCAAAGGCTATAGATTCAAGGATAGATTATAAAGTTACTTTTTTCATCTTAATCGTAACTGCAAATGGTTGTTAAACATTCCAGAAATCCAAGTGACTGTTGTTTTCTTAGTTTGCCAGCTTTAAATGATTTGGTACATACTGCACCAAAAGCTACCATATTGTCAGTTTCATCAGCGATGGCTTCTGTTTCCATCCTAATGTATTCCTAAAGTGTTGGCTATCATCTTCTGGGTTTAGTAGAAATATTCACAGATTTACTCTTCAATCTTCATTATTCAGTTTGAAGATAATGAAGTAGATTATATTCCAAAATAGACATACTGCCTGTCATATGGGTTACCACAGGTCTATTTTCTTGAATAATCAATAGTACTACAGAGCACATTTCCATATGACTGAATATTTCTTAAATATTTCTAGAAAAATACTGTTTCGCAGAATTCTAGAGGATTCCCACATTCAGTCAGTGGAGAAGAAAATTGATCACAGAAAGAAATATATTTGATTCACCAAACTAGCTTACATTGACATTATTTTTAAACATCACCTCATATCCTTTTACAAAGTTCAGGCAGATAAAATAATAGCTCACTGTTGCTGTAAATAGCCATATAATGGCTATACCTTTTAATTGCCTCTTCTTTGGTACAGTCTTTTCATAGGAAGGATACAATAACACCAGTAACAGCTATGTAAAGAGTGCTAATTTCTATTTCCATTACTGTACTAAAGAGACAAGGACAGTCTCATCCTTTAGATCTTTGCAAATACATCAATCCAATGCATTTGCCTCATACCTGTTGTCCTTTGTACTCCTAAGAGTCTCTCTACAGTACTTTTCTATGTAATGAAGAAACCTTTTGAACTTCTTGTAGCTGTTCTGTAATATATTCTATCAATGAACATGGTTTTCCTTTTAGCCTTTGCCTTATAGGAGGGCAAGTTAGGTGGCTTTGCCCCAGTGGTGAAATGTAAAATTTGTTACTACCGGTTCTGTGGGCGTGGCTTGGTGGGGGGGTGTAATATGACTGAGTGGGCGTGGCCAACTTTTTTTTTTAACTTTTAAAACCATTTTTTCTACAACCTCTTCAAGCGAAAAATGCTTTTAAAGCCTCTGACGATCCCAGCTGACTTGCCTGATCGGCAAAGGCTTTTTTTCCCTTTAAAAACATTTTTTCTATAACCTCTTCGGCCAAAGAGGTTGTAGAAAAAATGCTTTTAAAAGCCTATGATGATCCCAGCTGAGCCGCGCGATCATCAGAGGCTTTTATTTTTTTTACTTTTAAAAGCATTTTTTTGGCCAAAGAGGTTGTAGAAAAAATGCTTTTAAAAATAAAAAAAAAGCCACTGATGATTGCACGGCTCAGCTGGGCAATGGGGGTGGGCAGGGATTTTTGCTACCGGTTCTCCGAACCACCCGCCTCCATCGCTACCGGATCGGGCGATCCGGTCCGAACCGGGAGCATTTCACCCCTGCTTTGCCCTCAGATTTATCGTTCCTAGTGTTTCATAAGATAAAACTTTATCTTGGCTAAGGTATGAGCTGCTTAATTATGATTATCTGTCCAAGATAAAATTTTACCTTACAAACACTAGGAATGATAATTTTAAGGGCAAAGCCACTCATTTACTTGCCCTCCTTTCATGTAAAGGCTAAAAGGAGAGCTATTTTCATTGACACAATATGTTACAGAACAGTTGCAAGAAGTTCAAAAGGCTTTTTCATTTAATTATGATTATCTACTCGATGTATTCTTTAACCACTAGACACATCTATATTCTGTCAGTGTCTATACGGCACTTACTTTGCACCTGAATAGCAGGTTGATCTTCCCTTTTACTTAGGCTCAAATTCTAGATAATCAGTTTCATTTTAGTGATAGATACTTTCTTTTTAACATACTGATCACAAGTACATCTTTATCAGAAGGCGCTTCATTTCATTGGTTTATCTCTATTGCTATACTCATACCTGCCTATATGGTATTTCGTCTCTATTATACTTTTGTTGAGGTACATAGGCATATTCATTTATTACTATAACTTGCCATCCTGGTAGGAGCACATGAAGATTTTGAACAAATAAACTTATTTTCTATTGTTGATTGATTACAGTCCTACTTTTCTTCTATTTAGAATATGATATAAAGCATAATTGGTTCAAAGAATCGAGGAAAACAACTTCAGCTATATGGTTTTAATTTATAGTTCACTACAACCATTCAACTGTATCAAGAATTATATCATAGTTAAAAATAAGCATCCTATTCATCTATACAAATCCCACAGAAAAGCTATATGTCATTTTATGCAAATAAATTATTTCTTCATTTGAAACCTTATTTTAAAAATCATCATAGTTGCCAGATGTGTTTCATTTTATTGAAAGTAATTCCAGAAGGATATCTTTTATGCTAATTACAGCTTCAGCAGTTGAATTTTATACTGAATGATTTTTCTTCAGCATTAGTGAACTTGGAAATTTGACCAAGAATCAAATATTGCTACACTCTTCTAATGTAAATCAGAAAAGGTCTAGAAATTACAGGTTTTTTTAAAAGGACTAAACAAAAACTGAATGTAGAACTTAACCAAAGCATTAAGGATGTAAGTTTATATTAACATTTATGCTAGTTTTATTTTATTTGCATACCATTCTGAGTTTTATCTGTTTTTGCTTTTGTCTCATATAAGCCTTACTTGAGTTATATGTCTATTGTCAAGCTAGAGTTACAGCAGAATCTACACGTTTCAATTCCACATGTAAAGTGCTATGGTTCTTAACTTCCAGAATTCTGTTTTGATTAACATAGGAAGCATGTTTATTGTGAGATAGAGGTTTTTTTCTTGTTAATAAGAATTTGTTTTCTGGCTACTGTTTTAGGCCTGTGTCTTAAACTTTTTCTTCTATAAATAAAAAAACCCATGGAAGTAACATATTTCTTTTAGAAGGTCATAATCTGTCTTCTCTTTGGGAAAAATGTTTTTTAAAAGCCTTATTCTCAGTAGAGAAGTAAAACAAACACTTTGTTGCTTCACATTCCTTTTTTATAGACTACAAAATGCCTCAAAATTGTCAGACAACACATTAACATTTTGGAAGACTGCACATATAAAGTACTTTAAGGAAAATAATTTCTGTTATTTTACTTAGGTATGGGTTTGTCACATTTGAAACTCAGGAAGATGCACAAAAAATTTTACAAGAGGTAAATGATTATTTTAGTTTATATACATAGACAGTGGTAATCCTCTACTACTACCGTATTTGTGAAGATCGTTATTTGAAGTCTGTAGGAACATTATTTTTCTCCAGATTTGGTGGGCACCATCACAAAATAGCTACCATAATGTATAATCAATATTAAAGCTATGTATACAAGAGAGAATCGTGCAAGTTACTTACAGGAGATACAGAGGGTCTTTTTAGTTACCATAGAGATTTGGGCTACTCTTATGTGCATGGGCATTGTGTTATAGGAATGGGATGTTCAAAAGCAGAGAAATGGATTGAAATGTGCAAAAAGATTTTTTTAAGCTGTCTTCATTTCCAGTCAATGTATCCATGGCAATCAAGCGAGGGTAGAAGATTTCTGATGCTCCCTTCTAGCTTCCCACAATGAAACTCAGTGGGGAAGCCGGCAGGAAGTTGGAAGTCACTCCCACTACTTTTTTGCCCTCCCACGGTCATTAGGTAAGAAAATAACTCTGATATAATGACCCAGTGGGGCTCTGATTGTCCAGTAGAAAGTTAAAAATCACAACAAGCCTAGAAGTTTGAAATTGCTTTTACGTGGCACAGAAAACAATAAAGATGACAATGTCTTACCTTATTGGGAAGGGCTAGCAGAATGGGACAACTCGCCACAGCCAACTCGCTACAGGACAATTCAACAAATACAAAAGTTAATTTTGATTGAATTGTAGCCAATAATAATAAAATAAAGTCAATCCAGAAATATATGAATTAACAATAATTTTGAAAAAAACATCACCAATAATAAAAGTAAGAACGAAACAATTAATACAGTGTTGAATTGTCACTGCGAGTTGGCCATGATGAGTTGGCTGCAGCAAGTTGACAGTTGCAAGTTGGCCATGGAAAGTTGTCCTAGACCCAGGGCTAGAGGCAGCAGGCAATCACTTGAAGAAAGCTACTCTTGGATAGCTATCAAATGCCTTAACAGGACAAGACATGTCAAATAGCCAATCCCCAACACAATTTTATTTTAGGCATAGGAACATAGAGAAACAGGTATTCATAGTCCTTCAAAACCTTGGTTCCAGGATATCAAGGGGTTTATAATTTAAAGCCAGTACCCGGAAGAAAATGTAGAGGAAAAAAGTTTAGGGATTATTTTATATTTTGAATTCATATTTTATGAATTTTACATTCTCAAAATCTTTATATAGTAATATTAATTATTTGAAAAAAATAATTGTAATAGTAACCAAGCATCCCCCCCCAAAATTGTAAGAGGTTTTTTGTAAGATATTTAATGAAATAAATATCTGAAAAAATAGTTTGATTGTTCGTAAACATTTTGTAAAACAAGATTTAGAAGTAAGTAATATAAATAACATAGTTCCTTTGTTTTGTTTAGGCTGAAAAATTAAATTATAAAGATAAGAAACTGAACATTGGTCCAGCAATAAGAAAACAACAAGTAGGGATTCCTCGTATGTATTTGTTTTATCTCCCTCTTTGCCCATCCTTCAGTGAAATCCCTTTCAAGCAGAGCACTAGACATAACCATTAAGCTGCTAGAATCAAGAGACTATTTGCTGCACATGAGCCTTCTGATTCACCCTATTTATTCATGTTACATCAACAATCTTGAACAGTGATAGCTAACCTTTTTCTTGTCGTGTGCCAAAAGCACACATGTGCATGCCCGACAGCATGCACGTGTGCTGGCACCCATAATGTGATGCGGCCGCCCTGCGCATGACCCCCCACGCTCCCGCCGTGCACATGCAACCTCACAACCACCTCGTTTTGGGCCTGGTAGGCCTCCCTGCAGCCAAAAACAGGCTGCAGGGGGAGCGCTGCTCTCCTGCATGACCCCCCCCCCACGCATGCGCATGCAACACCCCACGCATGCATGCGCATCTCCCGCATGCACCTCCCCACATCCCAAAAAATCAGCTGGCCAGCAGGAGGCGCACGCACATGCATGGTGGAGCTGAGCTGGGCGATGGCTCATGTGCCCACAGAAAGGGCTCCGTGTGCCAGCTGTGGCACGCGTGCCATAGGCTCGCCATCACGGATCTAGAATCTCTCCATGTGGCATTCAGTCTGGCCACATGAGGGTTATGGGAAGGGCAAGAGATGCATATCTCTTTCATTTCTCTGTAGCTTCTCCACCTACTACTCCTTTCTCTTCACTTTCAGCCATTCAAACTGCTAAGGGAGAACCACAATATTTCTGTTCCACCTGATTAACAAATATTGTAAAACTTTGAAATTTGCCTGAAGTGGAACCTGTTGACCATGGAAAATTTTTAGACCCACACTTCTACCGTGCAAATGCTATAGACAATAAGTATTTTATTTGCATTTTGGTGAAATAATGTTCTACAGATAGTCCTTGCTTAGTAACCATAATTGGGACCAGGAATTCTGTCACTTAAGTAACACGGTTGTAAAGTGTGACATCACATGACTGCACTGATTTACTATAGGAGTTCCAGTAATCCCAGTTGCTACTGTCACATAATTCCCATATAGTCACAGCATCTCACAGTCACATGATCACCATTTGCAACCTACTGACTTCCCCGTTGGCATTGTGTGTCCAAAGTTGGCAGTGAATGTTGCAAATGGTAGTCATGTGACCACAGAACACTACAACTTAATTGCAAGCTGATTGCCAAGTGCCCAAATCACAATTATGTGACTGGGTGGTGCTGCAATGGCTGCAAGTACGACGACCCGTCGTATGTCCCCTGAAAGGGATCAAGCCTAGATTAACTTGGATTGGGGTAGGTCTTTAGCTAATGACCAATAGCATTCAATTAATGTGGCAATGGAAAGTGTAAGAATCCCTATTGCTAAGTGATGTAGTCATGTGATGATGTGCTTTATGATTGCATTACTTAGCAACAAGTTCCCATCCCAATTGTAGTTTTAAGTCGGGGACTACCTGTTTATCACTATTGCCTTAATTTAGAATTATATGCCAAGTTCTGTACAGTGTTTTCCTGTTACTCGTAATGCAGATTTAGATTTCGGTTTAGACTTAGATTTGTTGTAGCCACCAAACCGATTGACTCTGGGCAAATTACCACTGTATTTCTCTGTTCCATCAATAAAATCCTACCTGTAAAATGATTTGTATGTACTTAAAATTCCTGCTTAAGAAATTTGAGGAAATTTAATAGATGCCTCCATTTCTGATTATTTTTTTTGTCCCCAAATTTTCAAACTTACATATGTTGCATATCTGATTTTTACTAACTAAAACCTTGTTGTTCTAAGAGCACAAAATGATAAAATAAAAAGATACAAATTTATATTCTGTCATTATTTCAGGTTCCAGTATAATGCCAGCAGCTGGAACAATGTACTTAACAACTTCAACTGGATATCCATACACTTACCATAATGGAGTAGCTTATTTTCACACTCCTGAAGTTGCATCTGTTCCTCAGCCATGGGTAATTCTTTTTTATATAGGAATATCAGATTTTTTGATAAATAATATGCTTTATTTTATTACTCTTTGTTAGCATGCTTTGTAAACTGTGGTTAATGCAGCAGATTTATAACAGCGTTGCCTTTGCAGTTTTATTCCATGCAGCTGTTGCAAATGATGATGATGATGATGATGATGATGATGATGCAGGTAGTCCATGGGTTACGACAGCAAACCTGAGAAGTTTGGGTTGCTGTTGTAACCTAAAGATATATGGGTCATTAAGCAGAAAGAGATGAGAGTCCCAGCTAAGGAGGGCAGGAAGGGAGGAAGGCCTGAGAAAGCTGGCGCAGGCCACGTAGGAGGCCTAGGAGAGCTAGCATAAATCACACCTAAATTGTGAAGACTGGGGAGAACCAATATAGACAATGCATGCATTAGGGTAAGGGGCAATCAGATTGCCCATATCTCACAGAAGACAGGTAGAACCAGCAGAGACTGTTATGGGTGGGGGAGATGCTGCAGGCAGGTGAAAAATCAGTAGCAACTTAATGGAGCAATTTGCAACTTTCCTTGCCAGCTTCCTTATTGTGTTGGCTTGTTGAACACTGCATTCACATACAGCACTAAGCCAAGACATAATCATGATTAACTAACATAAACCAGTAGTGGACTGCTTCCAACTACTTTTCACATCAAACCAAAAACCAAATTATAGATAAGTGTTATATATAAAACAGGATAGTAGTTTTATGAAGGTTAATATTTATCATGGTCAATTTCAATTTATTTCAAAACAGATTTCAAATTTTATTTATCAAATTTGTGTATTGCCAAGTCTTCAAAGACTCGTTAAATACAATAAAATTTTACCCAATAAGAGAAAATAACACTACATTATACACAAATACAGATCTATAATAGTGTTAGCTATAAATAAATACTAAAAAAATAAAACTTAAGAAAAAAGGCAAATGGTTATTTTTTAAAAGCCCAAGAGTTTGGTCTAAAAGCTTCCAGAAAGCTGTTACAAAGGAGGCCCATTTAACTTCTAAAGAAAGCCTATTCCACAACATAGATGTCACAATAAAACTTTTTTTTCTGGTCTTAACCTTTTTATTTCACAGAAGTAGTGTTCCACAAGTGGCCACTATTACAGGGATCTAGGAAAAGTCAAAAACCCAGATTCCTAATAATAAATTAGTAGTGATGCATATGAGAGCCTGTTTGGTGTAGTGGTTAAGGCATCAAGATAGAAACTGGGAGTTCATGAGTTCTGGTACCACCTTCGACACAAAGCCAACAGGGTGACCTTGGGCCAGTCATTGTTTCTCAGCTTTTAGGTAGCAGGCAGTGATAAACCACTTGAAATTTTGCTGAGAAAACTGTATGGACGTATCCAGGAAGTATCCAGGAATAAAGACTGATTTGAAGGCAAAAAAGATACGTATACAAATTATTTATGTTTCACATTTCTGAACTGCCTATCTCCCTCAAAGATTCCCTCAAGGCTCTCCGGAAATGAAAGGATGAGGGAGTCTGCCATAGATGACGAAGAAGGTAGAGCACACAACCCTAGACAAGATGTGCATTAACTTACTGAATGAAACTTATTTATCCTCTTTTACAAAAAGTAGTATTTTAACAATGCAAGTATACAGTGCATTCAGAAATTACTCAGACCCCCTTCATCTTTGTCAATTTTGTTATGCTGCAGCCTGATTCTACAGTTGTTGAAATTCATTTTTTTCTAATTAATCTACATTCAGAATTTTAGAAATGTCTGTAAATTTATTAAAAAGGAAAAAAAAACCTGAAATATCACATTGGGATAAGTATTTAGACCCTTTGCAACAACACTTGAAATTTAGCTGTGGTGCCTCCCATTTCTCTTGATTGTTGCTGACATGTTTCTACACCTTGATAGAAGTCCACCTGTGGTAAATTAAATTGATTGGACATGATTTGGAAAGGCACACACCTCTCTATAGAAGGCCTCACAGCTAACAATGCAAACTGTAGCAGAGCAAAAGCCATGAGGTCAAAGCAACTGCCTGCAGAGACAGAATTATTGCAAGGCACAGATCTGGGGAAGGCTACAAAGGAATTTCTGCTGCACTGAAGGTTCCTAAGAGCACAGTGGCCTACATAATTCTAAAATGGAAAAAGTTTGGCACAACCAGGACTCTTTTGAGATCTAGTCACCCAGTCAAACTGAGCAATTGGGGAAGAAGGGCCTTAGTAACAGAGATGACCAAGAACCCAATCTGACTCAGCTCTAGAGATCCTGTGTGGAAATGAGACAGAGTTCCAGAAGAACAACTATCACTGCAGCCCCTCCATCAGTCTGGACTTTATGGCAAAGTGGCTAGATGGAAGCCTCTCCTCAGTTCATGAAAGCCTACTTGAAATTTGCAAAAAAGCACCTGAAGGACTCTCAGACTGTGAGGAATAATATTCTCTGGTCTGATCAAACCTACACTCTGTGCACAATTATTAGGCAAGTGAGTATTTTGACCATATATTTTTTTTTATATTAAATTTGTATACCCCCCTACTCCCGAAGGACTCAGGGCGGTGAACAGCCATAAAATAAAACATAAATACAAAATTTAAAATGGAGATAAAACAAATTAAATAAATTTGGCTGAACCATTTTAAAACCCCAATAATTTAAAACCAAATTTAAAATTCCCATTTAAAAAGAGGAAAAGTTTAGGTCAGGCCAGCTTGATGGAATAGGAACGTCTTAAGCGCGCGACGGAAGGTACGCAGATCCGGAATCCTCCGTATCTCGGGGGGGAGCTCGTTCCAGATAGTAGGTGCCCCCACAGAGAAGGCTCTCCCCCTGGGGGCCGCCAGTCGACATTGTTTGGCCGACGGCACCCGGAGGAGCCCCTCTCTATGGGAGCGTACTGGTCGGTGGGAGGCTATTTGTGGTAGCAGGCGGTCCCGCAAATAGCCAGGTCCTAAGCCATGGAGCGCTCTGAAGGTGATAACCAAAACCTTGAAGCACACTCGGAAGACCACTGGGAGCCAGTGCAGCTCACGCAGGAGAGGCGTTACATGGGAGCGCCACGTCGCTCCCATCACCACCTGCGCGGCTGCACTCTGCGCCAGTTGGAGCCTCCGAGTGCTCCTCAAGGGGAGCCCCATGTAGAGAGCGTTACAATAGTCCAGACGGGAGGTGACGAGGGCATGAGTGACCGTGCGTAACGAGTCCCGATCCAGAAAGGGATGCAACTGGCGGATCAGGCGAACCTGATGAAAAATCCTCCCAGTCACGGCCGTCAAGTGCTCTTCTAAAGACAGCCGTGAATCCAGGAGGACACCCAAGTTGTGAGCCCTTTCCGTGGGGGCCAATGCTTCGCCCCCAATAGTCAGTGATGGCACCAGCTGACTATATCGGGATGTCAGAAACCACAGCCACTTGGTCTTGGATGGGTTGAGCCTGAGCCTGTTTCTCCCCATCCAGATCCGTACGGCCTCCAGGCACCGGGACATCACTTCAAGGGCATCGTTGGGGTGGTCTGGGGTGGAGATGTACAGCTGGGTGTCATCAGCGTACTGATGGTACTCCACCCCGAAACCACGGATGATCTCGCCCAGCGGCTTCACATAAATTTTGAACAAAAGGGGCGAGAGGACTGATCCTTGTGGCACCCCACATATAAGGGGCCTCGGGGTCGACCTCTGTCCCCCTGTCAACACAGACTGCGACCGGTCAGAGAGAAAGGAGGAGAACCATCGTAATACAGTGCCTCCCACCCCCAACTCTTCCAACCGGTGCAGCATGATACCATGGTCGATGGTATCAAAAGCCGCTGAGAGATCTAATAGGACCAGGACAGAGGAACAACCTCTGTCCCGAGCCCTCCAGAGATCATCCACCAACGCGACCAATGCCGTTTCCGTGCTGTACCCAGGCCTGAAACCCGACTGGAACGAATCTAGATACGTCGTTTCATCCAGGTACTGGGGAAACTGTCGTGCAACCACACTCTCAACAACCTTCGCCACAAAGCGAAGGTTGGAGACTGGATCTTGCCGGGTCCAGGGAAGGCTTCTTGAGGAGAGGTCTCACCACCGCCTCTTTCAAGGCGGCAGGAAAGACACCCTCGCCCAATGAAGCATTTATAATCCCCTGGAGCCAGCCTTGCGTCAACTCCCGGGAAGCCAGCACTAACCAGGAGGGGCACGGTTCCAACAAACATGTGGTCGCATTCAGTCTACCCAGAATCCTGTCCACGTCCTCAGGGGTCACAGAATCAAACTCATCCCAGATAACATTCTCAGGACCTGCCTCCGTCATCCCTGCTGGATCTACCCAGTCGGAGTCCAGATCTTCCCGAATCTGAGTGATTTTGTCATACAGATACTGAACAAAATCCTCGGCTCTTCCCTCCAAGGGGTCCTCCCTCGCTTCCTGGTGGACCAGGGAGCGGGTCACCCTAAACAGGGCGGCCGGGCGGTTATCTGATGACGCAATAAGAGCAGCAAGATAAGTGCATTTCGCTGCTTTTATCGCCACTAGGTAATTCTTAATATGGCATCTTACCAATGTCCGGTCAGATTCAGTACGACTGGCCCTCCAACTACTCTCTAGGCGTCTTTTCCGGCGCTTCATCTCCCTCAGCTCCTCAGTAAACCAAGGAGCCAGTTGAGATCGGCGCCAGGTCAGAGGCCGCAAAGGCACGACTCGATCCAGAGCTCCAGCGGCCGCCCTATCCCAGGCGGCCACTAGGTCTCCAGTCGAGGCGTGAGCCAGAACCTCAGGGATTGGCCCAAGCTCCATCTGGAACCTATCAGGTTCCATCAGGCGCCTGGGGCGGTACCATCTTATCGGTTTCGCCTCCCTGCGGCGGGGTGCAGCGGTTCGAAGGTCAAGGCGAAGGAGAGAGTGATCTGACCATGACAAGGGCTCGATGACTATGTCCCCTATCTCGAGATCACTCAGCCACTGTCCAGAGACAAAAATCAAGTCCAGTGTGTTTCCCCCCATGTGCGTAGGGCCATGAATTAGCTGGGTCAGATCCATAGCCGTCATGGAAGACATGAACTCCCGAGCCACCTCAGACGTCTCACCCACGGACAGCAGGTTGAAATCCCCCATCACCATAAGTCTGGGGGTATCAACCGCCACCGTGGCAATAACGTTGAGTAGCTCGGGCAGGGCTGCTGCCACGTGGCAGGGAGCCAGGTACGTGATCAGCAAACCCCTCTGAACCCCATGACCCCACTTCACAAGGAGGGTCTCACAACCGGCCGTCTGAGGAACAGTGGCCTCCCTCGGCCTAAGGCCTTCTCTAATAATAACCGCTACTCCCCCGCCCCTCCCTTGTGACCTCGGCTGATGGAATGCCTGGAAGCCTGGTGGGCACATTTCTACCAGAGGGACCCCTCCCTCCGGGCCCAACCAGGTCTCCGTAATACCCGCCAGGTCCGCTCCCCCCTCCTGAACCAGATCATATCATCCTTTGTATGCATATTTTCCATCTCCAAGCTGTATAAACTTAAATGCTTAGTGGATATAAACAGATCAGGTGATGTGTATTTGTGTAATGAGGGAGGGTGTGGCCTAAGGAGATCACCCTATATCAAGGTGTGCATAATTATTAGGCAACTTCTTTTCCTCAGGCAAAATGGGCTAATAAAGAGATTTAACTGACTGAAAAGTCAAAAATTGTAAAACGTCTTTCACAGGGATGCAGCACTCTTGAAATTGCTAAGATATTGGGGCGTGATTAGAGAACCATCAAATGTTTAGTTGCAAATAGTCAACAGGTCACTGCTATTGGTCTGTATTGGTCACTGAATTTTTTTTGAACTGTCAGAAATGTTTATTTGTAAATTTTGAGTTGTTTGTTTATTATTCTCACTTTAACAGATGAAAATAAATGAGATGGGAAAATTTTCAGTTTTCATTTAGCCTCATAATAATTCTGTAGAGTAATAGTTGCCCAATAATTGTGTGCACATAGATATTCTCCTAAAAAAGCCATAACCTCACTTTTATTTTCTTAAATATTCAAGTTTGAGGTTTCATTTTGGATTGACCAAGAGCACTGTAGTTGTTCAATAATAAAATTAATCCTCCAAAATACAGTTTACCTAATAATTGTGCACACAGTGTGGATTGAACTCTTTGGTCTCAATTCTAAATGTTATGTATGGAAGAAATCAACTGCCCAATATCATCCCAACAGTGAAGCTTGGTGGTGTTTTTCAGCAGCAGGGACTGGGAAACTGGTCAGGGTTGAGGGAAAGCTGAATGAAGCAAAGTACAGGGATATCCTCAATAAAAACCTGTTCCACAGCGCTCAGGACCTCAATCTCCACCGAAGGTTCACTTTCCAATATGACAATGATCCTAAGCACACAGCCAAGACAATGCAGGAGTGACTTAGGGACAACTCTGAATGTCCTAGAGTGGCCCAGCCAGAGCCCTTACTTGAACCCTATTGACCATCTCTGGAGGGACCTGAAAATGGCTGTCCACCGACAGTCGCCAACCAACCTGACGGAGCTTGAGAATATTTGCAAGGAAGAATGGCAGTAAATCCCCCAATCTAGGTGTGCAACACTTGTTGCGTGATACCCAGAAAGACTCTAGGCTGTGATTACTGCCAAAGATGCTTCAACAAAGTATTAAAGAATGAAGGGTCTGAATACTTATGCCAATGTGATATTTCAGTTTTTTCTTTTTAATAAATTTGCAGACATTTCTAAAATTTTGTTTTCACTTTATCATTATTGGATACTGAGTGTAGAATGAGAAATGAGAAATGAATTTCAACCACTGTAGAATCAGGCTGCAGCATAATAAAATTGACAAAAGTGAAGGGGATCTGAATATTTTATGAATGCACTGTATTTCTAAGTAACATTGAAAATATGAGTATATATTTGAGCAAAATACTTTTTCAAATACTTTTTACTAAGAATTATAAATAAAAAATAAAAATCAATACAAAATATAAATAGAAAAGTATAAGGGAAAAAGTGAGGGGTGTGAAAAGGAAAAAAAAGAAAGAAAATAGAAAATAAGTACTGTATTTTTTGCACTATAAGATGCTCCAGACCATAAGATGCAGCTAGCTTTGGGGGAGGAAAACAAGAAAAAAAAATCTGCCTCTTGCCTCCCAGCAATTTGCCTCCTTGCAGCAAACAGCAAACACAGCCTGGTCAGCTTCAGCACAGCCTGCTTTAGCATGAGCAGCTGATTGGCAGTTGGATCAGCCTCCTGGAATACCGCCAATCAAATGTTCCAGGCGGCAGGAATTGCCACTGCCTCCGCGCCCCCCATTTTTGGCCTCCGCGCAGCCTGTTTTCAGCCTCCGTGTGTCCCTTTTTCAGCCCGTTCCAGGTAGTGGGGATCATCACTGCCGCCTATCGCCACCAAATGGGGATTGCCGCCGCCTGGAACGGGCCCGAAAATGGGGCACGCGGAGGAAAAATATGGAGCGTGCGGAGGTAGTGATGGACGGCAGCAATAACAGCAGTCTGGAACAGCTGATCGGTGGTATTCCAGGAGACTGATCCAACCACCAATCAGCTGCTTGTGCTAAATCAGGCTGTGCTGCAGCTGACCCTGCTGTTTGCTGCAAGGAGGCAAATTGTTGGGAGGCAGAAACCGAAGGGTGGGGGCCGGCAGGTAGGCGGGTTTCAGCAACATTCGCTCTATAAGATGCATAGACATTTCCACCCACTTTTTTGGGCGGGTGGGAAGCGCGTCTTACAGACCAAAAAATATAGTAACTTTCCTGTTCATCCTAGCAGATAAAAACAATTTTAGTAGCGCTTCACTATCTCAAAATATAATCTCTCTTCTACCCATACCATATCTCAAATAAAGAAAACAAAGTCCAAATTCTAGGTCAATCAATCTTTTGTCACCAAAAGTCCAGTAAAGGGAAACAGATATAGCTATTTTTAACGATGATCAAATAAGCCAATCTTGCAAACCTTTTCTAAGTTTTTAAAATTATACTTTAACTCCTTCAAAAAAGTCCTAGAGTTAGTTTGCCCTATCATCTGTGCTTCAAAGTGAAAATTCTTCAGAACTTAACAGATTTTTTTTGTATCAATAAGTAAAGTATCCCTTTGTCACTTCTAAAAAAAGTCTTTCCTAATCTTAGTAGAATTCTTTTATATATCCAGAAGAAAAAATCCAAATCAGTTTCCTGTTTAACATCTGTTTATCTCCTTTAGGGAATAAGTCATCAGATCCATTTCCATTACATTTAAATTTCCCTTCAAATTAGTTTCATAGACATTATGCTTTGTCAATTTTATCAAACATTTCATCCATTCTGTCGAAAAACCTATGTAGAGATATTCCAAAGCCTACAATTTCTTTCCATTTTCTTTATCCTCTGGCTCTTGTCCGACCTTCAAGGTTTCCTTATCATTAAAAAAAAAAATCAAAGCAATCTCCATTTTCCCATCAGAAAATATCTTCTAAATAATTCAAAACTATAATTCCAAGTCCTCTAGCCCCTTAATTATTAATTTTCCAAAATCTATCTAGTATCCTTAAAACTTTTAAAGTCAAATTTACACCATCATCTTTTAAGGGGGTGAAAACTCAGCCGATGAATACAATAAGACCTTGCTGATCTGAAGGGTTTTACTCTCTAATATGCAAACAATTTTAAAAAACCAAGGGATTAAGATATAAGACTCGGTCAAATGTGATTTCTATAAAGTCTGGTTTATGAGTGTGAGCTTGATGTAATCCTGAATCCCTGCCAGACCACTCATAAGCCAACCGAAAAAACTGCAATTTCATGATCTACACATGAGTAGATGATACAGAGTCATGTCAGTGATCACCACAAATCTCTCCCTTGTTCCAGAGAGATTTTGCCAGCTCGGATCTAGCATTGATTTCCCTTGCAAAAGCTGTCTTGCTAACCAGCCAAAACTAGAAAGACATTGACTCACCATGTGCCTACAGGTAATCTCCATCTCAGCAAAATACTAATTGATGTTCTTCTCTTCTTTTTAAAGTCACGTTCAATTTCTAGTTCTCCTGTGATGCTAGCTCAGCCAATTTATCAACAACCAACATATCACTATCAGGTAACAATTAAAGATTGCATTTGTTCAATATGATTGTAAATAAGGGAAATCATTAATTACACTTCTTTTTGTTTATGTAACAAAAACACTGAAAAATTATCAATATATTCCATTTGGATTTTATTGATTAATAATAGTTTAGCTTTTTATTAATTGTAATGGTTTCAATGTTTATTTTATTTAAAGTTTGTATAGACAGTCTTTGACTTACGACCATAATTGGGCCTGGAACTTTCATTGCTAAGCAAGACAATCCTTAAGTAAATTGCACCCGATTTTATGACCATTTTTGCCATGGTTATTAAGTGAATTACATCATTAATCCAGCTTCCCTCATTAACTTTGCTTGTCAGAAGCCAGCTAGGAAATGGTGATCGTATGGTCTTGGAATGCTGCAACTATTATAAATATATGCCAGTTGCCTAGTGTCTGAATCATGATCGCATGACTGGGGATGCTGCAATGGTTGTGTAATGACCAGTTGTAAGTCAGTTTTTTCAGCATCTCCATTACATTGAATGGTCATTAAACATATGGTCATTAGTCAAGACTACCTGTATATACAGTATACATTGCTTTATAATTTTGATTAGACACAGTATTAATAAAAAATTGTTTTTATCTATCCTAGGCTCCTGCACAGTGCCTTCCTGGACAATGGCAGTGGAGTATTCCCCAGGTAAACTGGAATATTTTTCTTTCTTTCTTTTTTTTTTAAACCTTTATTAACATTTAAAATCCAAAAATTGGATTTAACTTAAATCCAAGTTAAAATACCTCTATGACAAAAATACATCCGTAATAATTATACAATTCAACGTCTTTCTGACAGTACGTAATTCTCAACTTTCTTCATCTATTCCCAAATATTCCTACTTAATCAACATATTTAAACACATCTTATTTTATTCTATACATTCCTTATTTTTAATTTCTATCCATTGATACCAATTTGCCCAAGTTAAGTAGTATTCCGAGTCTTCCTTATTATTTAATTCTAAAGTAAGTTTGTCCATTTCTGCACATTCGAAAGTTTTCCAGATTATTGCATAGTCTGTTGGTATAGTGGACATTTTCCAGGCTTGCGCAAGTACAATTCTAGTTGCTGTAGTTATATGAATGAGTAAATATTTTATCCTTTTAGGGTAATTTCCTTCAATAATCCCCAGAAGAAACAGTTCAGGTTTAAATTCTGTTTTATAGCGTGTAATTTCTTTTAGCCATTTTTGTATTTTAATCCAAAATTTTTAAACTTCTGGGCAAAGCCACCATACATGGAAGTAGGTACCTTGTACTTGGTTGCATTTCCAGCAATTAGGTTTTAGGTTGGGGTACATTTTTGCAAGTCTTGTTGGGGCTAAATGCCACCTATAGAACATTTTATACTGGTTTTCTTTATATGCGGCAGATTTTGTTAATGTATAGTTTTTTCCCCAAATTTTTCCCATTCTTCTAACTCAATGTTGTGCCCAATATTTTTTGCCCATGCTATCATTGATCCCTTTACAATTTCTTCTTCGATTATTCCCTGTTCCTTTAATTCTTAGTTAGATTTTAATCTTCCTCCATTGTCCAAAATTTCATTATATTTTACCATTTTACCAATATCTAACGTGTTGGGGTAGATCATTGCCTCCATAATGGATAACCAGCCTTGTATTTTGAGATAATGTTTCTTCCTAATTCCCCCCCAAGTCTGTATCAGTGAATCTCGAAGTGTATGTCTATAGAAGTACGAATGTGAATGTTTCTTATTTCTGGTGTTCCATATGAAGGCATGCCACCCCATCTGGAGATTATGTCCTTCCAGTGTTAAAATTCTTCTATTCTTTAAATTAATCCATTCCCTAACCCAAACCAAACTCGCTGCTTTGTAATAAGTTTCCCATGCAGGAGTCCAAAGCCACATCTGCTTCTTCTATCTTGAAGTGAGATTAATTTTATCCTCGCCTTTTTTCCTGGCCCTTACGAACTTCATAATCGTTTTGTTTAATTCTTTAAAGAAATTCTTATCTAATTTTATCGGAATCATTTGAAATAAATAGAGTAGTTTTTGGAAAATATTCATTTTAATTGTTGCAATTTTCCCTAATAGTGACAACTGTAATTTCCCCCATCTTTCTAAGTCTTTCCCTATTTGTTGTATTAATTTTGTATAATTATCCTTTTTTAATGCTGAACATCTTGCTTTTAACTAAATACCTAAATATTTCACTATTTTTACGGTTTGGAGTTCCATTCTTTCCTCGAGTTCTTCTTTTTGTTTTTCCGTTAAATTCTTAACTAACATTTTAGTTTTTTCTTTGTTAATTTTAAGGCCTGCGGGCACACACACACACCCCCAATATTTTTCTATCTCTTGCAGTAGTATTGGTCCAGATTCCAATGGGTCTTCTATAACAAATACCATATCATCTGCAAATGCTTGCACTTTAAATTCTTCCTGTTTAATTTTGGTTCCTTTTATTTCCGTTTTCTGTCTAATTCTGTGTAATAATATCTCAAGGGTCAGGATAAAGAGCAGAGGTGACAGAAGATAACCCTGTCTAAGTCCTTTCGTTATCTTAAATGAATTTGTAGTCTCCCCATTTATTATTACCCCTGCCTTTTGCATGGAATAGATCGATTCAATCGTCTTTTCAAATTTCTGTCCGAATTTTATGGCTTTAATTTGTCGAATCATAAATTCCCAATTCACATTATCGAAGGCTTTATGCGCATCCAGGAACATCCATCTTTCTGGATGCGCCTCGTAATATTCCAATATATTAATTACTATTCTGGTATTATTTCTAATTTGTCTCTTAGGAAGAAATCCATTTTGATCTGGGTGTATCTTATCATTTAGTATTTTTTTTATCCGTTCCGCCATAATGTTCATAAATATTTTGTAATCCGAATTTAAGAGTGAGATTGGTCTATAATTCTTGATTTGTTTATTGTCTGTGCCTTCTTTAGGGATCAAGGTAATATATGCCTCCTTCCATGATTCTGGTGACTTTGCTTCCCTCAGGGCTTCATTACATACTTCTAATAATAATTCTACCGAATCTCCTAAGTGTTTATAAATTTCACCTGGCAACCCATCTGGTCCTGGGGTCTTGTTACTTTTTTGTTTTTGAATTGCTTCTTTAATTTCTAATAATGTTATCTCCTTATTCAATGTTTCCCTTTCTTCTTCCATCAATGAAAACCCAATCCCTTCCTTCAAGAACCGTATTTTTCGGACTATAAGACGCACCAGAGTATAAGATGCACCTTAATTTTGGGGGAGGAAAACAAGAAAAAAAAATTCTGCCTCTGCCTACCAGCATCAGGATCACCGGCGTCCTCACTTCCATTTCGATTTTGACAATGAGTAGCACAGATCTTTTTATCAGTTTAAAACAAATCCTATGGACTGGGTAGGGTGGGGTGGGGGATGATTTTCATGGGGGCAGTAATCTCAAGAAGTTAAGGAGAAGTCTGCTGCTATAGGGAGTGGGGATCTCCAGTCCTCACACAAGTTATGAAGGCAGCCGTTAGAACTGCTGGAGCTGCTCCCAGGCAGATCGTGGAGAACTCGGAGCTCTCGGTGGCTAAAGGGGAAGAAGAAAACTCTGGGCATGTTGAGAACACACACACTCTTGTTGCTAGAAGAAGGGGAGAAGGGCTGCTTCTCCTGCAGTCTCTCCCACCCCCCCGTCCTTGCGCCTTATGCCTACACTCCTCCCTCCTCAGCCACCTTCTCCTCCCAAACGGTCTTCATGCCCAGAGGGACTCCAGCCGCAGTCGAGGTTGGTTCTCCCCCCCCCTTGCTCTCTTAAACTGAACTGCACTGAACAGCTGGGGGGGCAGTGTGAAGGAGAAATGTCTCAGCTCCCGACAGCCACTTGGCATTTTGACCACCCGAAACGGATCAGCGGCAGCTGCTGCTCTCTCCCAGGATCATTTATCAACGAGTCAGAAAAGCAGTGGAGTTCAGTTTAAGAAAGAAAGGGGAGGGGGGAACCAACTTCAACCTTCTTCCAGCAACAGGAGAGTGTGCTTTCTCAATGTGCCCAGAGTTTTCTTGTTCCCCTTTAGCCAGAAGGAGGAGGGTGCACGGCTCTGCAAATTGCATTGGAGAATCAGGGAGGGAAATGCCGGAAAATGCAATGCATGGAGGCAATGCTCTTGAAAAGCAGGTGCTTCTGCGTGGAGAGGCGTAAGGCAAGGTGCTCGCCGCCCAGCCTGCCCCTTCTCCAGACTACCCAGGCTGAGGGTGGTCAGCTTCTGCTCCTGGCCCGGGAGCAGGATCTGGCCAGGAGGGAAGAGAAAGTGAGACTGCAGAAAAGGAGGAGGAGGGTGCGCGGCTTTGTGAATTGCTTCAGGGAATTGGGGAGGGAAAAGAGCATTGCTTCCATCCATCGCGTTTTCCGGCGTTTTCCTCCCCATTTCTCTGAAGCAATTCACAAAGCCACGCACCCTCCTCCTCCTTTCTGCAGTCTCACTTTCTCTTCTCTCCTGGCCATATCCGTCTCCCAGGCCAGGAGCAGAAGCAGACCACCCTCAGCCTGGGTTGTCTGGAGAAGGGGCAGGGTGGGTGGCGAGCACCTTGCCTTACACCTCTCACGCAGAAGCACCCACTTCGCAAGAGCATAGCCTCCATGGATCGCGTTTTCTGGCGTTTTCCTCCCCGATTCCCCGATGCAATTCACACAGCTGCACGCCCTCATGAAAATGCTGCGGCGGCAGTTTTCAGCCTGTTCCAAGCAGCACCCCCTAACTATTTCCACCACCTATCTCCCAGCGTGCAGAGACCGAAAATGCGATGCTCATTTTTGGCCATGTGAGGATCCCCACCACCTGAAACCACCGGAAAATGCAACGCACGGAGGCCGACAACCTCCCAAGGGTGGGGGCCAGCAGGTGGGTGGGGCTACATTCAGAGTATTAAGACGCACCCAGATTTTCACCCCCTTTTTGGGGGTAAAAATGTGCATCTTATACTCCGAAAAATATGGTAATCACTTATTTTCCCCTGTTCTGTCCCTTCCTATCTATAAAGCCTCTCAAAGAAGTCTTGTGTGATTTCTTTTTTCTTCTCCATATTACTTTCCACAATTCCATTTTCATCCTGTAGTTGGTGTATTATTCTTTTTTCTCTCTCCTTTTTAATTGATAAGCTAGCCACCTCCCTGGCTTGTTTGCATGTTCAAAATAATTTAGTTTTGCAAGTTTTAAGTTTCTTGCCATTTCTTTTTGGTCCAAAATATTCAGTTTATGCTTGACTAGGGCCATTTTGTTTTTAATTTGTTCATCCCCCGGGTCTATTTGTAGTTGATTTTCTAATTTCTTAATTTCCTCGGACAAAATGTTATGTTCTCTCCACTTATCTTTATTTCTTTTTGCACTATATGCTATTGTAATCCCCCTTAAATATGCTTTCATAGTGTCTCAGAGATTTTGTAAAGAGGTGTGGTGTTTTTTGTTGTCTCTAAAAAATAATTCCAATTCTTTCAGGATCTTTTGAATATATTCTTTTTCTTTTAGAATTTGTGGATTCAATGTCCATCTGCCTTTCTTTCTTTTTTGCCCTTTCCAAATTATTTTGAGGGGATTATGATCAGCCCAGGTGTTTGGCATAATCTCTACCGTTTCAACATCTTTTAACTAGATCTCCATATATCCAGGCCATATCGATTCTCAACCAGGATCTATGAGGGTTGGAATAGAAAGTAAATTTTGTTTCTTCTGGGTTACGAAATCTTCAGATGTCTAATAGATTTAATTCTTCTGCCATTTCAAAAAAAAACTTTGGGTAAGATGTTCCTTTTTATTTTTGTTTTTTGGTTATTTGCATAATCTTTTTTTTAAATCGGCCAAATCTATTTAATTATTTTAATTTTTAATCATTGTTGTGTCTTGTGTTTTTAAATTGGCTGTACACCGCCCTGAATCCTTCGGGAGAAGGGCGGTATAGAAATATTATTATTATTATTATTATTATTATTATTATTATTATTATTATTATCCACTATTGCATTATAATCACCAATCAAACAAACATTGTCATTCCCTATCTCTATTATCTTATCATACACTTTTTTATAAAAGTCTGCTTGGTTCTTATTGGGCGCATATATCACCACTAGCAAAATATTTTTTTGACCCATTACTATTTCGATTATCAACATTCTATCTCTTGTGTCTGTATATATTTGTTTAGCTATTATCCCCTCTTTAATGTTGGAATATTTTTCAATCTCCTTCCCACATTTTACTATTCTGTTTGACTCTCCATATGAAATTCTTAAAGAACAAAAATACGGTAGTTTTTCTCTGTTCTTTTGATAAAAATTATAGTATATGAGAAGCAGGATTGAAAGTAAAGACATAGGGTTATTAGTACCGTTTATGATTGAGTAATCACTAAGTATAGTTTGTTGAAATCATGGTTACAAACAGGATTTTGATGTAACATGTTGAAAATGCCACATAGTTTTCTGATTATTCCTGGCAACTGACTGTAAGAATTAAGGTTGATAACGTGCTAAGTTCCTCAGTCACCCTCTTCTCAGTGAATCTCAAACAGATAAATTCACATGTTATATTGAGAAAGATTGCATCATTTCAAGAGTTTTTTAAAATAATGCTATTAATAAATGTACCAAAGAATGTAAGGATATGGATCATGTTTTGAATCAAACCATTTGAATTTAGGAATGTTTCAAGGTCAAATAGTGTTCTGTCATTAGAATCCAGCTATTTTGACCTCAAAGCTTTTCCCAAATAATTGAAAGACATTTGATTTGTGTGAGAAACAGTGCATTGTTTATTATTGTTTGATGCAATTTAGCTGTCACTAACCATATGTCGTAGTTTGGATTGCTTTTCAATTGCTTATAATATTTTGGAAGATAGAAAATGGACTACTTGTATGGAGAAGAAAGTCTAAAAATAGAACATTTTTAAGTAAGCTATTCAAACTAAGAGCTAGTTACATACATGCATGCACATATTTTTTCAGAATATACCAATTTTAAAGAAAATCTGCAATCTTTATTAAATAATAGCTCAACAGGATTTTTAAAAAGATTTTATAACAATTGCCTTCCGCCTTGAAAGAGGCGGTGGTGAGGCCCCTCCTCAAGAAGCCTTCTCTGGATCCGGCTGTTTTGGTGAATTACCGTCCAGTCTCCAACCTTCGCTTTGTGTCAAAGGTTGTTGAGAGAGTGGTTGCGTGACAACTTCCCCAGCACCTGGATGACGCTGTCTATCTAGACCTGTTCCAGTCCGGTTTCAGGCCTGGGTACAGCACGGAAACGGCATTGGTCGCATTGGTTGATGATCTCTGGAGGGCTCGGGACAGGGGTTGTTCCTCTGTCCTGGTCCTATTAAACCTCTCAACGGCTTTTGATACCATCAACCATGGTATCATGCTGCGCCGGTTGGAGGGGCTGGGGGTTGGGGGCACTGTATTATGGTGGTTCTCCTCCTTTCTCTCTGACCGGTTGCAGTTTGTGTTGGCAGGGGGACAGAGGTCGTCCTTGAGGTGCCTTATGTGTGGGGTGCCGCAGGGGTCGGTCCTCTCGCCCCTTCTGTTCAACACTGGGTGAGATCATCCGTGGTTTTGGGGTGCAGTTCCATCAGTATGCTGATGACACTCAGCTGTACATCTCCACCCCAGACCACCCCAATGATGCCCTTGAAGTGATGTCCCGGTGCCTGGAGGCCGTGCGGGTCTGGATGGGGAGAAACAGACTCCGACTCAACCCCTCCAAGACTGAGTGGCTGTGGCTCCCGGCGTCCCGATATAGCTAGCTGGTGCCATCGGTGGCTATTGGGGGCGAGTCATTGGCCCCCACAGAGAGGGTTCGCAACTTGGGTGTCCTCCTGGACACACGGCTGTCTTTAGAAGAGCATATGACAGCCGTGGCCAGGGGGGCTTTTTATCAGGTTCGCCTGATTCGCCAGTTGCGTCCCTTTCTGGATTGGGACTCCCTGCGCACGGCCACTCATGCCCTCCTCACTTCCCGACTGGACTACTGCAATGCTCTCTACATGGGGCTCCCCTTGAAGAGCATCCGGAGGCTCCAGCTGGTCCAAAATGCGGCCGCGCGGGTGATTATGGGAGTCGCGGGGCGCTCCCATGTAACACCTGTCCTGCGTGAGCTGCATTGGCTTCCAGTGGTCTTCCGGGTGCGATTCAAGGTGTTGATTAACATCTTTAAAGCACTCCATGGCTTAGGACCTGGGTACTTACGGGACCGCCTTCTGCTACTGACAGCCTCACACCGGCAAGTATGCTCCCACAGGGTGGGGCTCCTCGGGGTGCCGTCGGTCAGACAATGTCGACTGGTGACACCCCCCCCCCGGGGGGAGAGCCCTCTCAGTGAGGGCTCCTGCCCTCTGGAACGAGCTGCCCCCGGAGGTACGGAGGATCCCGGACTTGCGCACCTTCCGCCATGCCCTGAAGACTTTGTTATTCCAGCAAGCCGGGCTAGCCTAATTTTAACGGTTTTAAATTTTAAATTGGATTTTAATGGGATGTTTTAATTGTGAGCCAAAGTATTTAAACTGGTTTTAAATTGTTTTTAACTTTTATATTTATGTATTTGATCCTGGCTGTTCACCGCCCTGAGTCCTTCGGGAGAAAGGCAGTATATAAATATAATTAATTAAATAAATAAATAAATAAATAAATAAATTACTACAAATTACTAAAGCACTGTCTTGATGGAATTTCAAGTATTCTGAAATAACTTAAGGCACATAGTTGTTATAAATAGATTTAATTCACAGCTCAAACTATGTGCCTTTCCCATTCACTGTACATGCATGCCCTAGTAAACTCATTTTTCTGTTGCAATCCATGTCATTGCCTTCACCTTGTTTTCAGCTGAAAAGCTTGATAGATTTAAAGTCTTTAAATATAATGTTAGTGTAACTTGTTTGCCAACTGAGTTATGAACAGATAGTGGGGAAAGGCTCTATACTTATTTGAAATTAAGGCATATTAAAAGATGCATACTGGAGGACTTCGAAAGAAAATCAGCTTTATGTGTCTTGCTTGGTTTGTGACTTGCTCAGAGAGCAGTTGCCATAGACTCATGCTAGAAAGCAGGACTCCATAACAGGGATACAATGATAAGAAATTGCTGAATGAATAATGGGGTTCATCTTCTAACATTTTTGTTGATTTGCTGCATAGGTCAGAGTAACCCATGCTATAATTTGAACTTTTGTATGGGGTAGTCAGAGGACAAAACATTGAAGTAGCCAGGAAAACAAACAAACAAAATGTTCTATATGTTTTTAACCACATTGAGATATATTGTAAATCTTTTAAACTAAATCTGCTTTTATTGGCTGATGACCTTCATTGGCATAACTGGATAATAGGGCTTTTTCAGTTTTGTGGAGACATTTTATTTATGTATATATAAAATGTAGTCAAAGTAATAATGAACTTTACATTAATTTCCTGATATCGTTGAATTACCAGTATATGGTTTAAGTATCCACAGTATTTTGTCTTATTGCTTTTAGTCACCTGCTTCTCCTACTTCATTCTTTTACCTTCATCCTTCTGAAATTACTTATCAACCATTGGAAATTGCACAAGATGGTGGATGTGTCCCTCCTCCTCTTTCCCTAATGGAAGCTGCAGTTCCAGAGGTATTTATATTCGGTAAAGCATTTGTATCTGCTCTGTTCAATCTATGATTTTTAGATTATTTTTTCCACAGAAAATTCAACTTTAAAATAGGAGAATTTCTTTGATTAATTGAGAATACATCAAAAGGGGTTTGGGAGGCAGGAAAAGGTGCATTTTAAATTCAAGATCGTCTACCTTCTGGTAAATATAAACACTTATTTCAAGTTAGATAATGGGTTTTCCACCAGGGGGCAGGATTAGCTTTATTATGGATTTGTGCCCTTCTGTAGCCTTTTCTTAAAATGAACAACTAGTATTCATCAGTACCAAATAAAGTAAAAAAAAAAAAAGAAGCAGTATTTGTTAAAAGTATCATTAGTTCCTTGTTTGGGGGAGGGGTAAGTGGGCAAATCACACAGATTTTGTTTCTCAGTTTATTGATTGCAGTCTCTGTCTTGAAGAATTTGGAGGGAGCTGTTTAGAATTTATCTTTTGTCAGTATAGGACATTGTGTTTTTTGTATTACCACTTCTCAATTTAATTTTTATTACTCCAGATCACCAACAGTCTATAAACTAGCTTTTATTTTAGAGAATTCAACACATTTTGAAAGCTTTTATACATCCATTCTTGTTATTGGGAAGCCTATTATAATTACATAGGGATGTGGAATCTGCAAATTATCAACCAGTGTCTCCCTCAATGAAATACTATTCATTAGGGTTTGTTTGTACTTTGGTTTTTATATTTGTTTGTGAGGGTAGACTATATGACAAGGTGAGCCCAGGCTTTCTTCTGGGCAAGGAGAAAGTGTCAAGGTTATCTACTTGAGCTCTGGAAGATAACTGCTCACATGCAAATCTGTAGGATCTAGAGAGAACCTCTCTACTTGCTAGTAGAGAGCTTGGAGCTGAGGAAGAAAATATGCTCACAGCTTCAAATGAAACCTGCCTAAAGGACACTCAGTTTGCAATATCAGGACTCAACCTTAGCAAAAAATTATCAAAAAATTATCAGCAAATATTATTAAATAATGATTATAAAATATTTACAATGATTTTAGCTGAAAGGTTGAAAACTTTCCTGCAAGATTTTATACATGAAGATTGGTGTTGCTTTTTTGCCTAAAAGACAATAAAGAGATAATATTAGAAATATTTTTAATATTTCAGAATTTTTGCAACATCATAATGAAAAATAATCCACATTGATCTTTTTGGATGCATGTCTTTGTTGACTAGGATTGCTGATTTAAAACTGCATTTTGCAGGCAGTGATTTGATTTGGCTGAAAGAGTGGGTATAGCTAAGAAGTAAAAAAATGTTACAAAAAGAAGTATATAACCTGAGATTCAGGTGGCATGGCTTTTTATGGTACAACAAAGTAAAAATTATTGTAGATTTTAAAAATCATCATGTGAGAAGTACCATTTTAAGCATTTGGAATAAATAAAAGCCCATCTTGTATGTATTGGTCTCAGCACAAGAAACATTATAAGAAATAGTGGACAAAGAAAAATGGTTAAAATACCAAAATGTGTTAGTACGGGAACATGGAAAACTTAAAGATGAAGTCAAGAGAACAATTGACTGCAGAGGGATTTGTTTATGTCTCAACCTTACCTTCCCCCCCCCCCCAAGAATGCTTCTAGGTGTTGTTTATAAAAGCCCACAGGCTTTTGTAGAAAATAAAGGTGGGTGATTACACCAGAGTTTTGCAAGTATTTTCTTCCCTTCAAAAAAATGGTAGAGATAAACCAGGGCTGCTGGATAGAATGCAGAAAATTTTTACTTTCTAATAAGAGTGACAAGGCAGCTCTCACCAAATAGGCAAGCTTTCCTGTCCCCATACATTTATTACAAATTTATCGATACCTAAAGAACATTTTCATAGAATTCCAAATGTGCTTGCCAGTCCAAAAGACTAACCCACATTGCATAATGATGATGATAAAATTAAAAAGTATATAAATTTGGAGGGCAGAATATTAAGACTAGAATCAGTGAAGTTGACTTGCAGCTTAGTAGAATGTGAAAAAGGGTTTAAACTGAAAATCCAGTTTTGGTTGTTGTTCATATACTGAAGATATATTTAATTCTAAAAAGAAGTTGAAATATTTGTTTGCCTATCAGCCATATACTGATCATGGAGTGCAAGCAGCATATCACCAAGTTTATGCTCCAAGTGCCATAGCCATGCCAGCCCCTGTGATGCAACCGGAGACTATTAAAGTAAGGCTTCTAATTTTTTTGTATCAGTTAACGTGTTTTAGAAATCAGGAAAAACTCAAGTTGGAAAGATTATTGCAAAAAAAGGGGAGGAATATAATACCTTCTTATCCAAACAAAAAATTGGTTGGGTTTTGATCCGGATTTAATAAATGGAAAGCTCTTGCTATTTAGGAATGGTTTGATTCCTTCGGGTTTCCTACTAGTAAAAGAGAAGCATTTTTCCATTATCTGCTTCGTACCCTCCAGGCATATCTATCTAAAGTTTTCCCATATAGTTTAGAAATTCCAAGTTTTGGGAATATAGTGTAACAACATAATGACATTTTTGAACCTTAACCTCTTTCCAAGAACCTAGCAATATATTTTAATTTCCTTTCTCTTTTGTTTCTGCTATTCAAAGCAAGTTTTCAGAGAATGCAGGTTGCTATTGGGAATCCACAAAAAATTCTACCTTTATTGTCACATAATATTTGCTTTTTCTTTGACCCTTTGAAAGACTGGCTATGTGATACAGAAAAATTATACTATATCTTCTGCCTCCTGAAGCAATGTATAAAACTCTCACAATGATATCAGCCTGATATTTTAAACAAGATTTCTGTGCTCTGATTCTTGAGTTTCTGTGCAAGTATACTTCATATACAGGACAGCACTCTATTGATACTGATCCTTTTAAATAACTTGTACCATTCCTGTGTGCTGTGCACTAGTTACAAGTATTATCATATCAAATTTCACATATATATTGTCACATCATATTTCTCCTGAGCTATAATCTCTCTTTAATTCTATATCCTCTGGGCATAGATGTAGAAAACGGAGGTTTTGAGTGGCACCACCTAGTGTTTCAGTTTTCTGTGAAATTCAGAGTCCCAGGCAAAATTTTGTCCTCTTGCTTCTCCCTTTGCATTCTGCTTTATTGACCACAGTTCTTGGCTGAGTATATGGTTCTGGGCCTTCATCACCCTTTTTTTTTTTAGTTTAATGCCATCCTGATGAGACTGGCAAGATATATGCCAAATATTTATTTTTCAGGCTTTGAAGATGTAGCCCACCTTTTCCCAAGTGTTCTTTCTGAAGGTGGAACAGGTTATTCTGGTAGAATTCAAACCCTATTTGTATTACATTTAGGTAGCAATTTGTAAATACTTGCTAATAAATTACTTTGATTCAACTTCTGTTCTTTTTCTCTGGTACCTCTTTTTTCTTTTAGGATCTCTTTTTATTTTTCCATTTATTCGCAAATATATTAACCATAATAGATTTCTTCCTTCAATAAGCAGTTCTTGTCATGCCTTGAGTCCTTTTTGAGTCCAGATGTCTCATGTTTGCATATGTAATTAGATATTTCTTACTGTAATTATCTTTGAAATAAAAAGCATTTGATGATGGTGCTAGTTGTAAAAACATTAGATTTATCCTTGCTTTTAAGTAAGTCCAACTTTTTAATAGATAACTCAAATTGTGAACAGTTTTTGACTTCTCTTTTGAATCTTGCAAAATTTTGAATTTTACTTTCATTTATTTTTTCCCATTCCATATAAAAGAATTAATTGAACTTTGTCAATCCTGCATTTATTTATCCAGAAATCAAGGTGCTGTTTGAAATAAGAAATTTATCTTGGCTAGTATATTAGTGCTTCAAGTCCTAGCCAGAAAATTTTTAAAGATTTTTTACCTAAATATAATTTTGTTTTATTTTTCCCCATAGTTTATTGAAATTGTTTTGAAATAAGATTTTGTTATATACTGTCAAGTATAGTCCTAAATGTGTCATTGGAGCTTATGTTATCTCACAGTCAGATTTTTTTTAATGAAGTTTCTTCCTCAGAAGTCAGTGCTTTGCTGTTATCTTTGGGGTTTCTTTCATTGGTTTAGAATCCGGAAAAGCAACCCAAATCTTTGATTAATTTCATTACCTCCTTTATGGAGTTATGTGGTTTTGTGATTGCTAATAGTATTTCATCGGCATAAACTTTCATCTTGTATCCTTGATTTATGATGAATAAAAATTATGTGCTTATTTTTGGGGGATCCTGTTGGCTAAGATTTCCAGAGCAATTACAAATAGTAAAAGCAAGTAGATATCCTTCTCTTGTGACTTTGCTAATGGAAAAATTTATAGAATGTTCCATTGACTGTAAAAAGCTCTGTTTCAAAGGGTAAAAAAGTATTACTGTGCTGTTCATTAGTTTGCTTACTTTGGAAATTATGCATTTCTGCAACACTGAAGAAAGCTAATAAAAGTAAAATAACCAGACTCCCTAATAAAAAGTTGAAATTCAGTTTGACAAATTATTCAGTTTGACAAATTATAACTAAAGATGCCAGCATTCAATTTATTTTTGTTAGTAGTTTATCAAGGTAAAGAAATGAATTTAGTTAATAGGATTGTTTACATCATGTTGTAAATTATTGTCTTTCTTTTCAAGCTGTATTTGTATTTGTTCATTTTCCTTTTGGAAACTTTCTTTTTTTTTATTGAATAGATTTAGCAGAATTTCATGCTTTTATTTAAACTGTATTACAGAATAAAGCTGTGTGGTTTTGTGAAGATTGTGGTTTTTTTTTTTTTTTTTTTTTTTAGGAAGCCAGGATACATTCAGTGAGAAGAAATTTTTCTCATCCTTCATCTATGAGTTTGAAGCCTCGATATGCACGAACTCCTCATTTTCACCCTAGAAAAGATTACAGATCAGATGACAGTATGCTCAATACTTCTTCCTCTACAGACTCTGTTAAATAAAATGTTAGATATCTACCAAATATGTTAACTCTTAAAGGTATGTAATATTTGCTTATATTTGCTGAATACAAAATTCCTCTCTTGTGTAGGGGTATTAAAAAACCCTTGCTCTTATGAACATAAAGTTAGTAAACAAACTGCAGGATAAAAATCATGGTTACTGTTATCAATTGGTATATTACTATGGTGACACAGACCAATAATTTGTAATATGCAGACTGTGCATATATTGCTTGTTTTAAACAATACATTTTAAAACCAGCATCTTTATATTGTAAGGCAAGCCTAGCATTTATCTTCATCTGATAAATTACAAGGGTGATGTAATAAAACAACAAAAAACATTTTTGTTAGACTGAATTCTAGCAAATATCAGATTCACATTATTTTATCCAATCTTTCCATTTCAGTTCAATTTATTTTATATATTTTTTAAAAATCTTTTTTACATCTTGAAGTTAATTTCAGTAAGTTGGAAGATTATTTAAGATTTTTAAAGTCCTTTTTTAAAAACTATAGGACTGCCAGCTTATATATATATAACATTTTGATTTTTATGGCTGATAATTTTCTTAAAATTCTAAACATTATACATATATGTATTTTGTTTAATGTTGAGATTACAATAGGCATAAATAATACTGCATACACTTATAGCTTTTCCCCTGTTTAAGTGCAGAATCAAATAAGATCTCTGCCTATATCATGTCTAGTGTATTCCTCTACACTATATTACACAACACTACACAGATCAGAAAAGTTTGCTTATTCCTTTTTCTAGTAAATTTTTATTACAATCTCTCAAACTTAATATAGCAGAATAAATAAACATGAAACAATTACTATAGAAGCCCATTCTTGTAATTAACAGTCAAATATTTTTCCATTTTCTAATTTTAACTGAAATATTTTTCATATTTTAATTTTTTTAGTCAGCTTTAGAGCTATTTTTGTGGTTGGAAGGTTTTATTTATTAATACTTTTTACGGGATTGTTTTAAAGCAATAATAGTTTTGCCAGCAGTATTTAAGTAATTTATTTTGAAATTTCTTTTCTGTTTAACATTATATTAGATGCCTATATAGCTGGCAGTTTTTTTGGTATATATTCAGACTCTTAACACTGGCTTTTCTAGTAACATTAATAACAATGTTTATGACAAAAGATCAATCGGAAAAGTATTTTATACTTTTTGTATAAATGTTTATGATAGCAGACCTTAGTCATTTTATGTCAAATATAAATAATTTGAATTGTTGAAAATATCATACTAATGTTTGTGTTTTGATATTTGCAGAGGTTTTAAAATATATATAAAGATGTTGACATCTCTTGAAACGGCTTTATATATATGAAAGGATTTGCTCTGTTGTAAATATTCTCGTAAACAATATAGAAGTAGACATGAAAAGGCCATGTGTTCTGTTATTATGGTCTTATTACTATCATGAAACATCCAAGTAGTCAGGGTTAATTTTAAACCCTTTGCTTGGGTTCCCATTTTTTTCTTTGTAGAATATAAAAATAAAATGTTGATTTCCTGAAAATATTTCAGAATATCCAAGGAAGCACTTGGAAAACAATATACTTGAAATTCTTTATTCCAAATATTGTGTTACAGTTATTGATATGCCTATCAGGTAAGAAAATACATATTTCCCACGTGAATTAATTCTACATAAAAGAACAGTGAAAACATCAAGTTTGTTTCATATTTGGCCAAAAGTTTATTTCATGCCATTATATATAATAACAGAAATAATTAATAAGCAGGTCCCAAATGTTTTAAGTGTATTATGTCCAAAAGTATTAAAACTGCTTTCTTTAATTTGGTTCTATAATGGACTATCACAATTCTTATCAAATTGCATGAGCATTTTTCATAGACTTCATACATCACAGAGCTTGGAATACTACCTGGGAAAAACTATTACTCTTCTATTTTTTATTATGTTTCTCCATAAAAAGCCAGTAGTTCCTGAATATGTTTAATATTCAGTCATCTGTATGCTACTTGAAAGGCTAGATTTATAATATTTTAATATACAGGACTTACATTTTTCTGTTCAAATGTTTATTAAGAATACGAAGTAGAATCATACTAGCCATGGATTTAGAGATAATTTATTTAAATAATATGTCGATATGATCAGAACTCCATATTTTGAGAAAAAGAGTGCTATAATGTTGAATAAACAGGAACTTCCTGTTACTGGAAAAATGGCCTGTTTTGAAATTTGAAAAAAAATACAAACACCAAATGTTACCTTACGAACCAGAAAAATGTTCAGTTTAATAATAAATCATTTAACCTTCCACTTCAATTTTTCTTTATGCTTTCAATATCCTAAAAAATCCATTTAATAAATTACTCAACAAAGACATTCTACCTAAACCTTAGTCTTAAATAACAGAACACATGGCTTTGCAATATATATATTTACCTATATCTTAGCATAGTTTTAGAATGCAAGTTTATAGTAATACATGGTTCTAAGTGTTAAGTAAAATAAAATAGTAATTTCAGGGGTTTAGAATAATTTTTGTAGCGTAGCAAATTTTAAAAAAACAAGTGACAAGCTATTTGAGTAAAATATGTATATGTACTGTGGAAATTTATTTTTATATATGTCAATTCTTTTATTATTGTGAAAGTCTATTTTTAAACAGTATTATTATATGTAAGAAACTTGAAAAAGTACCTTCTTTTGAACTTCAAAACAAGAAGGTGCTTTTCAAAATGGTTGATACATTATTCTAAAAATACCTTTAACATGGCAGTTACAAGTGGGCTTTAGGATTGTATTTTATAATATAGGGATATTTTCCCAGGCATGTATATATCATCATAAGAAGCCTTTCATAAAGATGTAAATCATAACCAATATTTTTTTAAAAATGCTTGCCTAGCCATAGAAATATTATGCCTAAACTGATAAATTGTCTTCTTTGCACTACAGTGTATGCATTTGCTATAATTACTACAGCCTTAAAGACAATAATATGGATGCACAGAAAAATGTTTTATCAGTATTGAAAGTTTTGTAAGCCTATTAGCTGAATGTTTTCTGTAGCCATTAGTCAATTTCAGGCACAAAGGTAGTACACAGAAGATTACAGCATTCTTTTTTGTCTTTCCAAATAGACATAATCCTCAGCATTACATATTAAAGCAACAAGGGGAGCTAAGCAGGTTCATTTATTAAAGACCTATTAAAGCTTTCTTTTTTTTTTGTACACACAGAGAGGAGTAAGCAGTTCTGTTAATAAATACTGTAAAAGGTCTTTGTACAGGCACGCTAAATCTATGCTGGACTGGATTGTTTCATGAATGTACTGTATAATAAATACAGACTAACAAATCAGTTCCTGTACATTGCATCTTTTAATTAAAGTGGTTTTGTAATAAAGGTTTATCTCAATAAAGCATTCTGTATTTACTGTTGGTGGCTCTTTTTTTCTTTTTCTTTTTTTAAGAAAAAAACATTTGCATAAAATAAAACAAAAGCTAGCTACAGGATTTTTTCTTTTTTGTATGAAAAAGCAGAATCCAGCAAAGGGACATAGCTGGCAGCGAGAAATCCTGGAATAGTTTGATTTTTAACTTCTCCTTCCAGAAGAAAAACAAAAACAGGTAGTCTTCAACCTACAATAGTTAATTTATTGATCGTTCGAAGTTACAACAGCGCTGAAAAAACTGACTTATGACCATTTTTCACTCTTACGATGTTGCAGCATCCCCCTGGTCATGTGACTTACATTTGGATGCTTGACAAGTGACTCACATTTATGATGGTTGAGGTGACCCAGAGTGATGTGATCCTGTTTTGTGACCTTCTGATGAGCAGTCAATAGGGAAAGCATCCACTTAACAACTGTGTTACTAATTTAAGAACTGCAGTGATTCACTTAACAAATGTAGTGAGAAAAGTTGTAAAATGAGGCAAAACTCACTTAACTAATTTGTCACACAGCAACATATATTTTAGGCTCAATTGTGGTTGTAAGTTGAGGACTACCATACCTTTCCTAGATATTATTCATTGTGGTCTCTGTAATTCACACTTCTGAATTTGTGAAGTTCTTTGTCTCAAGTTCCATCCAGAACATTCTAGAGCTTTGAAATACTTGGCTACATCATGCTCTCTATGTATGCCACATGATTAAGTGTAGTTTATGTCAAACCCTTTCAGTCTGTTTTCAACTACAGCAGCATTAATATTTACCTTAGCTCTGATTTCCTTTAAATGCTGTCTTAATTTTTTTTAGTTTCATGTTTTTTAAAAAAACTTGTCTTAGCTTGACGTCAAACAAATGAAAACATTTTATTGTTTGAGAATTGTTACTCAATAAACCATTGTCTTCCCTCATAATCTATCCAGCCTTCAACCATATTGCCTTAAAGGTCACATTTCACAAGTATCAGCATTGCAGGAGCAAACTTCGCTCACAAGACAGGCCCCCACAAGTCTTTTTATTTTGGAGAAGGTCATTCAATAGACACTTGAGGATTACCAGTCATTTATTAGACAGACTTATTGCAATTAGTCATCTCGTTTGTGAGCAATTTTCTGGGAACAAACTCTTAATTTTAAAGCTATTGTAGTCATTGTCTTACTCCATAGTTTCCATTGTGCCCTAAAAACTATGGGTTCATCTCTTTAGGAGTTCGATCAAATCCTTAAATCTTAACTCAAATTTAATTGGCACAGGGTATATTGCCCAATAAGGGCTCAAAACGTTCTAGCTAGACGGCCTTGCCTGATTCCAACAAGGAAAAAAAAGGGGGGGGGGGAAAAGATAAAGGCAACTACAGCCTTAAGTTTCTCACCATATCAGCCTTCTCAGTTCTGCTGAAGTGAATTCTATAGATTCCAATTTATGTATCTAATTTTTAATCAGCTACTCTTCACCTGACTTGAAATCGGGGAAGATTCAGGAGACGCTGGACAGCTTTTGGTAATATTGCTATTCTGTCTTCAGGATTTCTATCTTTTAAAACATTTCTTTGAGATTTTGTTTTGGAGTTCTAGGATGGCAAGGTCCTTTTGCCTAAAGAGATCAGTGGTCCCAAAGCTGCTTTTTCCCAAAGGAGCTGTGGTAGCACAGTGGTTAGAATGCAGTATTGCTAGCTAACTCTGCTGACTGCTGATTGCCAACAGTTCGGCAATTTGATTCTTACCAGTTCAAGGTTGACTCAGCCTTCCATTCTTCCAAGGTCAGTAAAATGAGGATCCAGATTGTTGGAGGCAATACACAGACTCTGTAAACTGCCTAGAGAGGGCTGTAAAGTCTAAATGCTATTGCTATTATTTTCTTTTTTTTTTATTAAGTTTTTTATTATATTTTTATTGTTAAGGAATAACAAAAAGGAAAAAAATCAATACAAAAAATCAATAGTAAGGAAAGAAAAAAAAATTTTTTCCCCCCAACGTGCTATACAAATGGAAAGGAAGTTTTAGGAACTTGAAGTCTTCAATTCTTCCAGAAATCTCTTTGATAAGGTACTGGTGCCGATTCATCCAATCTCCCAAGTGCAAAGTCCACAAATGGTTGCCAAGTGTTCCAAAAAACATTTTCTTTATATATACCACTTCTAATTTTAATATCACAAGTCAATTTATCATTTAATGCAAATTTCCATGTTTCATTGTACCATTCTTCTAATTTTAAGTCAACATTTAATTTCCAATATCTAGCAATTATAATTCTCCCCATTATAACCAAAATCCTCACCAATTCTCTTTCTCCAGTTGTTAATGTTGTTTCATTCAATATTAATAATAATATGGTTTCCAATTTCAATTTGACCCTCTTCTTAATTATTTCAAATATTTCATTTTCTATCCTAGACCAAAAAAGTTCAACCCCATTACATTTACACCACATATGAACATATGTCCCGAGTTCCACTTTACATCTCCAACACATTTTATCCACTTTATTATCCATTTGAAAAAGTCTTATTGGGGTCAAATACCACTTCCAAATAACTTTATAATTATGTTCTTTAATCCTTATTGATAATGTCCTCATTATTCTGCTAACCCAATTCATATTCCAATTTTGATCAGAAATTTCAATACCCAGTTCTTTTACCCAATTCTCTTTCATTACCCTTTGTGAATTATTATCAGAGTTAATAATTTTATAAATTTTACTAACTAATCCCTTTGGCCCAATTTCATCTTTTATTATTCGAGATGTCAAATTTTCAAATTCCGTTTCCTTTCTGCTCTCATCGTTCCTTTCTTTGCATTTCCTATTCCATTTATTCATTTGAATTCTTTCAAACCAATTAATGTTTAATTTTCCATAAATTTCCTCTTTCCTCATTTCATTTTCTATAAATTTCAACCATTCACTAATTGTTTCCACTTCCTCTTCTATTATAATCCTCTCTGTTACTATTTAATTTCATTGGGCAATTCTCTTTCAGTTTACCTAAATACAATGCGTCTGGTATTAATTTTTTTGCTACTCTGTCCCAATTTTTAGTCAAACTATTTAACCAATAATTGCAAATTTTAACCTTACCTTTAAAATTTTCCAAAAACCATTTGTAACCAAACTTCTTTATTTCCTTCATTTCCAAATTACCCCAAAGTTTAATATCTCCTTTTAAAATTTTTACTACTGTTTTTATATTAAATGCTCTATAATAGTTTAATAATTTTGGAATTCCTAAACCACCTTGGTTTTGGTTCTGATACCACATTTTCTTAATCAGTCTTGGTTTTTTATCCCCATTACAAAATTTATCTAATTTTTTTTTATATACTTCAATGTCCTTCTCGGTTAAAAAAATTGGAAGCATCTCGAATAAAAAGTTAAATTTAGGAAGTAACATCATTTTACATAAAGCTACTCTACCAAACCAAGATAACTTGAGTTTTTTATATTTCCCAATTTTCTCTTCAATTTCTTTTGTTACTATGTCATAATTTAGTTTCTTTAAATTTTTAATTTTAAGTGAAAGTATAATACCTAAATATCTTAAATTATCCTTTATCCTAATTCCAAATTGATTTTGTAATTTTTCTAATTTATTTTCCTTATCAATTTCCATTAATAATTCTGATTTTGCCCAATTTACTTTCAAACCAGTCATATCTTCAAATTCTTCCAAATGTATTTGAACTCTTTTTATATCATTTGTAATATTATTTAAAATGACAAGAGTGTCATCTGCATATAAATTAACTTTGACGCCTTTATAACCTATTAATTCTGAATCCTCTTCAATCAAAGTTGTTAAAATTTCCATTGCTAATAAAAATAGGGTCGGAGACAGAGGACAACCCTGTCTTGTCCCTGCTTCCAAATTTATATCTTGTGTAAATATACCATTTACCTTCACTCTTGCCGTACCCCTCTGGTACAATTTGGAAATAATATGAATAAATTTATTACCAAATCCTAATGCAGAAATCATTTCTTTTATAGTATCCCATTGTATAGAATCAAAAGCTTTAAAAATATCCAAGGCAAGAATACCTATTTTATCACCATTATTCTCAGCAACATCAATAACATTTAATACTCTTCTAACTAAATCACACATATAACGCCCTTTAACAAAACCTACTTGATTATGGTTTATATATTTATCTATAAAATTATTCAATCTATTTGCTACAATTGCAGTAAATATCTTAGCATCTTGGTTAATCAAGGAAATGGGCCGATAGGATTCAATTTTTTCTAGATCTTTACCTGGTTTCGGGATTAAGGATATAATTGTTCTATTCCAGGACATGGGAATATCATCTCCATGTAATATCTTATTATACAATATCTGTAATTTTGGGATCAAAATTTCTTTAAACTCTTTATAAAATTCTGCTGGTAACCCATCCTCACCTGCTATTATTTTCAAAAGGCAACTGGGCTTCCTTCATTTTTCCTTGAAGATGGTTCACTTCTCATCCAAGCCTCACAATCAGTATCTGCAAAGACCTCTTGATCTTGTCCATTTAGCAGAGATCTCTCCATTCATTGCTTAATGAACTACAGGCCCATCGCCACAAAGCCAGTGTCAGTTCTTTGAGGTAAGCAAGATTAGGAAACGGGCAGGGCAGGAATATTAGGAATGTATGTATTGTTGTAGAATAGAATTAACAATCCTGAAAATCTTACCAAAAATTTTTCTAAGCTGCTTTCACCAAACAAAAGTTGGGGTTACCTTGACTTTCTTAGGAAATTTTTGAGTCTCCCTTTAATGGTTTACTCACTGAGGTTAAGCAATCTGAGAACCTGGTCCATCATTTAGTACAAGATATTTCACCAGTCTTCATCCCTTTCCTTCCTGTCTTATTGAAGAGATCAAGAAATGTATGGGCCAAGCCAGCTACTTTGCTATCACCCTCTTAGTGAAAGAAGACCATTTCTATTAATTTGGTGCATTAACACCATTAACAATTGTCTGTGCTGATGGATGA